GACGGTCTCCATCACTGACACTCATTTCCTCACCTGGCTCGAGGGACCAGCATGTGCAGCCGGGTGACACCATCATTCCACCCAATCCACAGACAGCCCTGGGGCTCCTACTGTGTGCCAGGCACTGAGTAGGTGCTGTGGGACTTAAAGAGAGGACTGAGACTCTGGAGTGCCACAGTCTTTGGAAAGACCACAAGGCAGGAAAGTTAAATAACAGTCCGCAATACCAGTAAAGTTCTAGAGACAATTATTGAAGAGAGTGGCACGTCATGATTAATTGTCAGCCTAATTGTGCAGCTAGCCATCGCCATGAGAGCACAGAGCAGGGCAAGTCAGGAGAGGGAGACTGTGCAGAGATCGATGGGCTGCAGGCAGAATGCAGTTGGCGTCTAATTACTGCCCCGTACACCAGGTGACCTTGAAAGTGTGTTCCCTCTCTGAGCAAGTGTTTTCAGGCTCAGCCCAACTGGAGGAGGTGGGGTTGTAGAGAGTCGCTGAGATCTCCTCCAGCTCGGATATTCCTGGGCGTGGGGCTGCCCTGGCCTGGTGGGCCGTAGGGAAGAAATGCACCTTGCTCACGGGTGCCATCTGGACTAGAACTGAACAGCGAGGAGAGGGTGCCTAGACAATTGGCCCTTCACCGCTGACCCCAGGGGTGTCTCCTGGTGGCTCAAATGACCTGTCCAGGTCACCTGACTACACCTGACAGGCATTTCCCACCAACCCGCTCGCTCTGCGCACACTCACTGGCCTCCTGTGGGGGAGGACAGGCAGGGCAGGTCTTCCATCCTGATTCCCGGAGGAAGAAACTGGAGACTCAGAGGAGGGAAAGGGCCTGGGAATTAGAGGTGGTGCCCAGAGTGGGGTGCAGGAGAGACTGAGGTGCTCTATGCTCGTTCAAGTGGGGTTCACTCCCTCCTCCCCCACCCCCCGCCCCGCCCAGCTCCCCTCCGGGTGTGGAGTCCACGCAGCCTTCGCGCTACAACCATCTGTGCTCTTGTTTCAGCATCCAGCAGGCAGCCGCTTTGATTTGCTGCTAATTCTTTATTTTAAAAAGATTCACAACTCAATTACAGCAGGTAACAATAGCTCACAGTCAATAACACAAAACACAAACCTAATAAACATCCATTTTGACCGGGGGCCATGGACTTAGCTGAGGGAAAAAACACAGCCTCAGCTTGTTGAGAACAGTATCTTATAATTTCCAGGAAATTGGAATGGCTGCGAGTCAGAGTCCGCATTTGAGTGGCAGGTAAATTAATTTGTCATTTGTCAACCATCAAAAATAAACTGAGCACAGGGGGTGGGGCGGAAGCTTCCGAGATTCCAGCTGAGGCTACCACTCCCACACAAGTTTGTGTGGCACCATTCGTAAGGTCGGGGTCTTCAGAGGGGCCAAGGCTGGCCTGTGCCCCAGCTCTCTACAGTGAACAGCCTTGACCCCTGACTCCTTGGCCACACCCTGCTCTCCCATTGTTCTTTAGAAATCAGGGGCTCCTTCACTCTCTGCCTCCCAGAAGTCACCCCCTGGAGAGGTGTGGACAGGCTCAGCCATGGGCTACATCAGAGCAGAAGCTGCTGTTTGTCCCTCCCTGGCTATGCCCTCCAGGCACTGAATTAGGTCCCTCACAGGCATTATCTCATTTAAATCTCACAACAATCCTTATTATCGCCCTTATATAGATGAGGAAACTGGAGATCAGCGAGGGTAAATAACTTACCCAAGGCCACACAGTAGCACTGGCTCAGCCAGGGCCAGGGCGAAGGTAAGCAAGGTGCCTTGGACACAAAATCTGAGCAGGCATTGGCTCTCGAGGTCCCTTGAGCACAGGCAGGGTTGGCACCAGGGTGGTGCCTCTCTTGCTGCACCCTCGTCCTGGCCCTGAGTCACAGCTTGCGTTTGCTTCCAGGTCTGGCTGCCTTCGAGCCCCACTTTCTTCACTGTGGCACATCCTGCTCCAGAGGCGATCGCCTTGTAGTGGCAGCTGGGAGCTTGCAGAGGAGTGAGCTCCGTGGTGGGATTTCAGCCCTCAGAGGGCTGGTGATGGAGGCACTGCCTCCCAGGGCCCCTGCAGTTAGTCCAGACAGGCGGCTGTCTGCTCCCCAGGGCTTTCAGCAAGTCCACAGTCCAGGTTAAAACTGTGGGGCCGAGGCCATCACACAAGAAAGCAAACTCGGCTCATCAAGCCCTCTGTCTGCGTTGGAATCTACAGAGCGGACCCAGCCCCAAGCCCTACCCTGCACTTGCCATCAGTCTGTTGTCTTCCAAATGCACTTCTTATCCCCAGGAGGGCAGGGGTCCTTGTCCTCATTTTTCTCCTTGGGGTGAAAGTAAGGTTCAGAGAGGTTAAGCAAGTTGCCGCAAGTCACACAGTAGAGGGTTCTTTCCATCCCACCCCATTACCCAGCACGAGGTCAAGACCTGGATGAGGCTGACATGCAGATCGGTTTGGAGGTGGGAGAAATCAGAAAGGTGGCTTAGGGAGGGGAAAACCATATCAGGAATAAACAACATATAAAATATAATAATTTGGCTAAATTTAAACAGGTGAAAGAATTCAGAAGGATTCATAATGCATGCAGATTGATAAAAATTATGCCAAAAATAATGAGAAGGGCACAGCTTACCTCTCAGCCATAAGCAGGAATGGGCAGGATGGGACTCTGTCTCAGGCAAGAGTTTTCCAAGCAAACCACACGTTCTGCTGAAAGGACTTTCTTGTGCAACCTGGCAAAGCCCCAGGACAGAGACGGTGGTCCCCACGGCTAACACAGATCGCCCCTGAAACCCCACCACCAGCAGCACCCCCTCTGCCCCAGGTTTCCCTTCTCTGAGCTAAACAATTCTCCTCGCTTCCTTTCACTAATAAGCCTTCCTTCTGCCTCAGCTTTTTAATTGTCCTTATCACGGTCTCCATTTGTAATGGGCCAGGAGAGAGGGTTTGGCTGGGGTCTGCGTGAAGTAGGGTGGGCCAGTCGCTCCTCAGCCCACCCCCTTGTGCATCCAGATGGGCCTCCCAGCAGCATGTTGGGAAGGAAATGGCCTCTGTGAGGGGAAATGTGGGGTATGAACCAGGGTCTGCCAGCTCTGTGGCCTCAGATAAGTTACTTACCCCTCTGAGCCTCAGATTCCTCATCTGTCAAATGAGATTACTAACAGCTACTATTTATGGCTATTGGGGGGAAGCCACATGCAGCCATGCCTGGGGCATTGTGGGAGGCTCAGGCACTGGCCTCTCTACCCTCTGCAGCCCCGCAGCCCCCTCCCTACCGCAGCCAGGCTCTCCTGCCTCTTCCCTTCCATTGACACAGACCGGACTCACCCTCCACCTCCTTCTGCTTGTCCGAGAGTCCACCTGCCCATCATCTCCATGAAGCCAACTCCAAACCTCCACCCCACACGCCCTGCAACCAGCCAAGGTCTCCCTCCTGGGCCCTGATTCTGTGAAGAGATTTCCCACTTTCTCTGAGTTTTCACCCCATGATCTTCCTTTGATGTTGAACCCCCACTACCCTGTGAGTTCAGAAAATAAGATAAGGTTCTTATCTGATCAGGGAAGAGGTTGGGGTTCTGAGAGGACACAGCTAGGAGAGGGCCTCCTCTGGTCATGGGACCCACAGCCCTTTGGTCCCCCATCTCGCCTCCCTGCTGGTGAGGTTTCTCTCTTCACAACTATGGGCATCTCCTCACTTTCTGTGTGAGCCCCTTGATGGCCTGGGGCCCATCCTGGTCTCCTCTGGTGCACAGCCTCATGCCACACCAGTGACTCCCATGGCAGTGACTCCCCTCAGTGCCCGGCCACAGACAGCCGGTGGGCGCCAGACCCCCCTTTGCAGCCCACAGAGAGCTCAGTTCCTTGCCTGGACATCGGCCAGCAGTCAGCCCTCTAGGCCTGTCTCTGCACAACAGGCCTGAGCCCCGCCTGGGCTCCCAGGAGGTGCCTCACGCCTTGGAACCTGGGCATTTCCTGGCGTTAGAGAAAGAGAAGCCACTGTGTGTGCAGCGAGCAAAACTGCCTGAAGGCTTTGTGTGCAAATTCACAGCATCTGAAAGCCTCCCCACCCCCACCCCCAGTCCCTCCCCCCAAAGCAGGCCTCTGGGGAGGCATTTGTAGCTGGTGAGCTGGCTGCCTTCAAGACAGGTCCCTCGGGGTGCACCAGCTGAGTTACTTTTCCCAGCCTTGCTTGACTATCGCAACAGCCTAGGAGGCAGCGGAAATAATCCCACATCCCACGCTGCTTGTTTTCATCCTGATGGGCTGCTTGTTGTCTGCACACAGATCTCTCCAGAAGGTGTTCCTGGTGGGGCGGGAATAAACAGTCTGGGCTGCATACAGCGCTCTCCCCACTCATTCCACGGGGGCCTTCTGGTGTTAGACCCATGGGGAGACTTTAAACTTTCTACCGAGTCAGCCCCTGCTAATTCCACCATTAATAACAATAATAATAAATACTTCTGAGTGCTTATTAGGTGCCAGCCACAAGTCTAAGACTGCATGTACTAATTCCCTTAATCCTGACAACACACAGGGGCTAGAAGCAGGGTGCTCTATTATCCCATTTTACAGATGTGGAACAGGGATGGTAAGTTCCTTGTCTAAGGTCACGTGAGTCCTTTGATTTTGGACAGGGAGGTAAATCCATGATAGGGAAATCCCAGGTACTCAGAACACCCTCCCCCAGCACCCCATGTTAACACAAACCCTCCCTGTCCTCTCTCTCCTCCCGCCCCCTCCTTTCCCCTCTCATTCTTTCTTGCAACCTTTACTAGTCCTTCACCTTCCAAGCTCTGCCAATGAGGCACCTCATAGTCCCTCTCTACTGCCCTCTCCCGACTGGGGGGAGGGGGGACCTTCCTTGCTCACCTCATGGCTGCTGCAGGGGAGAACCATCAGAACCAACGTGGGGGTGTGCTTGGCCCACTGGGGGTGCCGGGTGGGCAGGAGGGAGTCAGGCTTCACCCCATGGCAGAAGCCCATGCGCTTTGTCCATTGCAGCATCTCAGGCTACGGAGCTGCCGGCGGGAAAGGCGGGAGGAACACCATGATGCGGTCCCACGGCGTGTCTGTGCTGGGCATCTTCAACCTGGAGAAGGACGACACGCTGTACATCCTGGTCGGGCAGCAGGGGGAGGACGCCTGCCCCAGTGTAAGTGCCAGAGCAGGGTTTTCTCCTCCACATGCAACCCAGGCCCTCGGAGGCCTGGCGCCCCTCACACTCCATCAAAGATGGCAGGACCCTCCCCTTGTCCTGCCTGCGAGTGCCCCTCCTTTTCTAGGCCGTTTGGGTCCTGGGAAAGCTGGGGGTGTGCCTCGTGGGGTTTCACTTCCCACAGGGACCAAGGCTGGGGCGCGGGTTGCACAAAACTAAAGGACTGCATCCCATGTGAGCGGGCAAGTGGTTGTTCCTTTCAGCAGAAGTAAGAGTTAAAGCCACTTCCTAAACTTTCTTGCTAGGGCATCGCTGTCCGTGGCCATATTATTACAAACAGAAAGATACCAACTTAAACATTTCTTGTTCAGCTCTTAGGCACATATACTAGAATGTCCCTAAGTACAGAGAACAAGGTCTGAAATATACACATAACTGGTTGTTTCTGGGGCGGGGACTGGAGTTGAGGGTGCTTTATCAGCAATGCCCGGTATGGTTACAAAAAGAATGCGTTCATATAGTATTTATCATTTGTGTGATTAAAGCTTTTTAAAAATGTAACGCACAGGTGAGAGCTGGAAGAACAGGTAATCCACTCGCCCCATTTCACAGATGAGAAAATGGAGACCACAGCGGTGAAGGGACTTCAAAGTCATTCACGACACAGGACAGAGTAGGGGCTTGGGCTCCTGTTTTTGCTGTGCCCACCCTTGCTTAGGCCTCAGTTTTTATGGCCTTTTGTTCTTTTCCACTTACAGCCCATCACTTGACAAGTCAGACCGCCATTCTCTACAGCCCCAGACACAGCCTGTCCTCATTTCTGACCCCACTTGGTGTCTAGCAGTCACACGGGAGAACTCCAGCAGCAGGAGCTAAGAAAGCTGGTGGAGCGCTAGCTGGTTTGGCTCAGTGGTTGGAGCCTTGGCCCACGGACTGAAGATTCTCGGGTCCGATTCCATTCAAGGGCACATACCTGGGTTGCAGGCTCCATCCATCTCAGGCCCTGGTCAGGGTGCACACAGGAGGCAACCAATGGTTGTGTCCTCTCACATGGATGTTTCTCTCTCTGTGCCTCTCCCCCTCCCTTCCACTTCTCTAAAAAAAACAAAACCCTGGTAGAGGTCTGACATGACCAGGAGCATGAAAAAGTGCAGACTAATGAAGCAGCCGCCATGCCAACACCCAGCACCTAGTGGCTTGCCTCTGTCTGTGCCAGGCCCCTGGCAGTGCTGGCTGTCCTCACAGGAACTCAGCCCCCTGCAGGGCGTGTCCCCTTGGGGCCAGGCCCCACCCCCACTTGCAGCACAGCTTCCACCTGGGGCAGGGAGTAGCCTCAGAGGACAGATGTGGGGACAAGGGCTACTGAGAAAGCAATTCAATTCCACAAAATAAGCTCAGGGCTTCTAAGAGCTGGCACTGGGCTGGGAGCAAAGCATAGCCTCCCCGCACCGCACCCCCACCACCACCACCACCATGTTATGGGTTAAAACAAAACAGCAGGCGTAAGCTTCGCAGGTACAACCTTGTGAATGAGGACTGTCTGGACTCCAACTTTTACTCAGCAACAATAATCAGGACTTTCCAACCTGATATAATATATTAAGTCATTAAACTGCAGGCTGCCGTAATGGTCACAGGAATTTATCGAGTGCTAATGTAATTCTTTCATCTAAGCAGAAAGATTGCATTGACTTTTGCAAGGGACTTTTACTTGATTGGATTGTAATCAGTTATGTCTTTTCACAGGCCTGCGTCCTCTTTTTTTTTAATTCAATTGTAATCTACTTGTTCCTCTGGTTGCTGCACTTTATCATTTCATTAATCAACCAACTCCTCTCAAAGTTGGTGGATGTGCAGGGAGAGCTCAGTTCTTAGCCAGGGACAGAGGGCAGCCCCCTCTGCTGGCCAGGCAGGCGCAGCATGGGCCTAGGGAAAGGAACTGGTCTTCCCTGTGCTCCATCCTCCAACCCCCCCGGAGTCACTGGGAGAAGGAGAAAGACCTCTTACAGGCACTACCTCAACCTCTAGTTCTCCAAAATGGTGTCTAGAGGGAATCCTCTAGAACAGTGGTTCTCAACCTTCCTAATGCCGCGACCCTTTAATACAGCTCCTCATGTTGTGGTGACCCCCAACCGTAAAATTATTTTCGTTGCTACTTCATAACTGTAATTTTGCTACTGTTATGAATCGTCATGTAAATATCTGATATGCAGGATGTATTTTCATTGTTACAAATTGAACATAATTAAAGCATAGTGATTAATCGCAAAAACAATATGTAATTATATATGTGTTTTCCGATGGTCTTAGGCGACCCCTGTGAAAGGGTTGTTCAACCCCCCAGTGGTCGCGACCCACAGGTTGAGAACCGCTGCTCTAGAAGATAAAGTGGACTCTAAGAATTAAGCTGCGGGAGTTGCCGGCTTTGCTGGTTCCGCTCACATCCATGTAGTTGCTGTTCTCATGCGCTTGGCCACACGGAGCCCGGAGTGGGCCCCGCTGCTGGAACCCCCTGCAGGGATGTACATCCCTCAGCCCCCCCTTCTCCACTTCCTTCCTGGACTCATCTGGGGGCATGATGCAGGGCTCTTTACATCAGCACTAGTGACATTTGGAGCAGATAATCCTTTGAGGTGGGGGCTGTCCCGTGCACTGTGGGCGGCTAGCAGCATTCCTGGCCTCTCCCCACCAGATGCCAGTAGGATCCCCGGTAATGACAATCAAAGATGCATCCAGACGTTTCCAAATGTCCCCAAGGGAGCAAAACCACTGATCTAAATGTCAAACCTCACCACCACCACCACCACTTGCAATGCAAATATTGTGAGAGTCTGGTGCACACCCACACAGCTCCCAGCTGGTTCAACCATATTCAGCAAATATTTGTTAAATACATACTGTATGCCCATCACTGTTCTAGGAACATGGGATATAGCCATGAACATATATCTAAAGAAATATCTCTGCTCTCAATATCTTTCTTTACATTCATGCCAGGGGTGGAAGGACAAACAGACAATAACGAGTTCATCAGTTTATTAGTTAATCAGGGTGTCCCAGAGTGACGTGTTAGAGTATATAGGAGTAGGTAAGGGGAGCCAGATGTGCCAGAGTTTGAGGCAGGTTGCAGTTTTAAACAGGGTGGCCAAGGAAAGCCTCCTGAGAAAATGGCAATTAAGCCCTGGCTGGTTTGGCTCAGTGGATAGACTGTTGGCCTGTGGACTGAAGGGTCCCAGGTTCAATTCTGGTCAAGGGCACCGGCCCAGGTTGTGGGCTCGATCCCCTACTCTCATCGTTGATGTTTCTAACTTTCTCTCCCTTTCACTTCCTCTCTGAAATCAATAAAAATATATTTTTTTAAAACAGAGAGAAAGAAAATGGCAGTTGAGCAGAGTCCCGGAAGAGGTGAAGAACAAGGAAAATATCTGGGGAGTCCAGCAGATGGTCCACATCCCTGAAGGCGGAGCACGCCTGGTGTGGCATACAGGGAGCAAGAGGGGGAGTAGGGGAGACATGAGGTCAGGTAAAGGGCCAAGTCAGACTCTTGTAAGGTCATGTTTAAGCATGTGTAGGAGTGTTGAACGGAATAGTGAGAATAGTGAGCTGATGCCGTTTGGGCTTCTAAAGGCCACTCCTGCTACAAAGGAGAGAACAGACCCTGTGGGCCCAAGGGAAAAGTCAGGCAGTGAATTCAATGGCTATTTCATCAATCCCAGCAAGAGATGCTGGTGGCTTGGAGCAGGATGGTAACAGCAGAACTGGTGAAAAATGGTTGAATTCTGGGCATAGTTCAAATGTAAAATCCAAAAGGATGTCCTGCCCGATTAGATGATGAACTGAGAGAAAGAAAGGGTCAAGGTTGACTCCAAGCATTGAGCCTGGGCAGCTGGAAGGAGGAGCTGCTGTCACCTGATGGGGGAATGCTGTGGAGGAGCAGGTTGGGGCGCAATCAGGAGTTCAGTGTTGGGTGTGCTGGCTGTAGAGCGATGCCTGATAGACAGCCCAGCGGGCGCTCTGGCAGACAACAGGAGATGGGCCACTGGAATCCAGGAGAGAGGTCTAGAGTGAGACACCGATCTGGGAGAAATGAGTGTAAAGTGGAGACAGGATGAGCAGTTCAGATTGAGAAGACCAAGGACTGAGATCTGGGGACCCCAACAGGAAAAAGGACATGAACCAGCAAGGAGGCCGAGGAGGAGGAGCCAGGGAGGTAGGAAGGAATTCAAGAGGGTGTGCAGTCCTGAAGGTCAGGTGAGGAAGCTGTATTATGAAGAAGGGATCAACTCCACCAAGTGCTGCTGCAGGGACAGCAGTGGGTGAGCTTTAGTGACACAAAGGCCCTCGTCCAGTCCATAGCTCCCTCCTCTCCATTCCTGCAATCTCCAGCATCTGCATCCCCAAGCGCCAGAGCCCCCCGCCCCCCCCCCCGTTCCGTCCTCGCCCCCCCCACCCCCCACCCCCCCGCTGCCAGGCAAGGAGAGGAAAAAAGGGAGCAGGGTCCGAGGGGATGGACCACCTTGGCACCACTGGTTCAGACTGGGCAGCCCCCGATCTACAGAGAAGGAGTCAGGTCCAGGGAGGTTCTGGCCTCAGCCAATGTGGCTCAGCCACTCTCCAGCCGAGCCTGTTAAGAGGCCAGCCTGAGCCCTGGGTCTGTGCTCCGCCCTCCCAGCTGACAGCCACATCTCCGTCCCAGCCCTGGGCTCAGGCTGGCTGCCCCTGGCATCTCCTGCCCTCCTTCCAGCGGTCCTTCGGCCCGCCCCAACCCCAGCCCTGGACAGCACTGCACAGACATCGGAGACATGTCAGCTTTGTCCAGGAACCATTCCCAGCCTTCCACCCACACTAAACCCACTCTGAAAAATACCAAATTACTCCCATTGTTAAATCCAAAATGCCATAAAACAAATCGCATCTTGGCTCTTTAGCTGGAAATTTCTCTAGTGCTCACTGCCGGCACCCCTGCGTGCTTCAGCGTAAGGAGGGGCTAAAGATGAATGGCCGCATCCACCGGCTGGTTACACAGCAGCATTCGGTGGAAATCTTATGTTTTATTGGCCTTTTTTCTATTAAGTAAAAGAAAAGTCATTTCCTCTGAGGCCAGGTCGATGGTTGTGGCCGACAAGCGGGATGGCTCTTCTTGAAGCACTGGCCTCTTTATTCGGGGACCCAAAGATCCGAGTCACAGGGAGTCCCAGCACACCCGGGACCTGATGCCTGGGCTCACACCAGGACATGTGTGGGCCCAGAAGTGAATCCAAAATAAGACAGCAGCCATTTATTCAGTCCCCGACACGTGCAAGACACCGTCTCTGCTACACGCCACCTCCCGTGCCTGTTCCCCTTGCACGCGGGGGTCAGACGGAGGCCTGCCCACAGCTGGTCAGGGGTGTCCGACAGACCCCAGGGCCCTTGGCCTCCTCGGTGGCAGACACAAGAGCTCTAGTTAGGGCTATGGCAGGGGAGCTCTGGAGGCAGGAAATGGGACGTGAGCTGCCCAGTATGGAGAAGCGACTTCCACAAGGGTGAGCTGGGAATAAATCTGAGTCTAGCCTCCCACTGTTTTCTTCTCTTTCCACGAGGCATCAGACCTGCAACTTCCTCCCCACTGCCCAGCTCCTTCTGGGATCGTCCCGGGGCCCCTGCATGATCTCACTTCCAGTTTCGTTCCCTCCACCCACCCCCTCACACTCCCTCCATCTCACCACTTAGGACCTCTGTCACCTGCTCTTCAGAGTCCAGAGGACACTTCTACTCTTGCTGAACCATCTCTCTGTCCTGAGATGAACTTTTCTGAGCCAAAAAGACTCCTTCCCCAAATACCCCACTCACCTTCTGGGTTCGTGCTACTCTCTCCCCCTGGAATGCCCTAACTTTCTCTCATTCTCTGTGTTTAAAAGTCTATCGGATGTAGTATACAACATAGGGAATACAGTCAATAATGTCATATTAACTGTGTATGCTGACGGATGGTTACTAAACTTAACATAGTGATCATTTCCTAAGATGCATAAATGTCAATCACTATGTTGTATACCTGAAACTAACATAATGTACTTTAATGTCTTTTAAAAATCTCCCTATCCTTCAAGGCCCAAGTAAGTGCCACCTCCTGCAGGCAGTCGTCCCTGATCACCAGTCAGCAACAAAGGCCCCCTCTCCCTCCCCCACTTCCCATGCGTTTTCTAACTAAGCTATTCTCATGATCCTTCTCTAATACTGCCCAGAGTGACAGTTATCTGGGTATATTTTTGGTCACTTCAACTCAACTCTAAGCTATTTGAGAGATAGACCCTATCTTTTTTTTAAATATATTTTTATTGATTTCAGAGAGGAAGGGAGAGGGAGAAAGAGACAGAAACATCAATGATGAGAGGGAATCACTGATTGGCTTCCTCCTGCACACCCTCTACTGGACATTGAGACCACAACCAGGCATGTGCCGTTGACCGGAATCAAACCCGGGACCCTTCAGTCCACAGGCTGGTGCTCTAGCCACTGAGCCAAACCGGCTAGGGCAGACCCTATCTGTAAACATAGAAGATCTGTCTGCTGGGAAGTAGAGAAACTTGGACACAAACCTGAGCTGCTTTTTGTTTCTGCAGACAAACCGATTAATCCAGAAAGTCTGCATTGGAGAGAACAACGTGATAGAGGAAGAAATCCGCGTGAACAGAAGCGTGCACGAGTGGGCAGGAGGGGGCGGAGGAGGGGGCGGAGCCACCTACGTATTTAAGGTGAGGTGGGCTGTGCCAGCTGCCAGGGGCAGTGACTTCTGCGTGTCATGGGGTTGCCTCGCGGCCGCCCCAGGAACCAAATGCCACTTAGTGCCATTTAAGGATGAGGAAACCGAGGCATCGGGACACGGGCTCCCTGTCTGTCCAAGAAAGGCAGGCTCTCCTCTCGCTGCTGTACCAGCCCGATTCACCCCAGGCCTCGGCCATGCCTGCCTCAGTGCTCCAGAGGGTCCGCCGTGCCCTCCTCTGTCCTAAGGTGGACGTTCCCTGCCAGGCCCCCCGACAGGGACAGTGATGCTGAGTGCTTGCTCGGGCGGTTGTGGGGGTCAGAGCCAGAGACCCCAGGGAGTGAGAGGAGGGAGAGAGCAAAGAGACCTCCTGCCACCAGCACCCAACCTCTGCGGCTCCTCTGTGAGCTTCAGGAAAGGGGCTGCATGAGCAGCGTCTGAGCTTGAGCCCCCGGGTTGCTGTCACCTGAGTTCAGAGCCCTCAGCCCACCGAGGTATCGGCTGCTGCCGGGCACACACTCAGGCACGTTAAACCAGGGCTCTGGCTCTCAGAGGGAAGCCCAGCCCCGTTTGTCAATCTCTGAATGTCTCTCCGGCCAGATGAAGGACGGCGTGCCAGTGCCCCTGATCATTGCGGCTGGCGGAGGTGGCAGGGCCTACGGGGCCAAGACGGACACGTTCCACCCCGAGAGGCTGGAGAATAACTCCTCGGTTCTAGGGCTCAACGGCTACTCCGGAGCCGCAGGTAAAGCAGTCAAGCCCACCTCGCCCAGAATGTTCTCCCGGGGCCATCACACAGCTGTGGCATCTTAGTCACTGATACTTGAGAGGCTGGGAGCTCTGACATGGGTACCAGCCTCCAGGGAGGAAGGGCAGGCAGCATCTTTAGGCCCCAGGGACCATCTTGCTGATGCGCCCTTTGGACTTGTGGAAGGTCACTGAGAAAATGAGACAGGCACCAGCATTCAGACCGCCAGCCCAGCCCTCCCTGGGTTTTACCAAATGCAACTGGAATCTGGGGCGGAGTCCAACCCTCCAGACCCCCGTGGTTCCTACCTCGCCGGCCTGGGCTGCCAGCTCACACAGCTCCTCTCTGGGAAAGCTCTCGCTGGAATCTTCGTGGCTGGGCTCTGTGCTAGCTGTGAGAGCAGCCACACAAACAGGACAGGCACTGAAGGCGATGTGGATTCTCGGATTCTCAGAAATCAGCCATCTCTAAAGAGAAAATGCAATTCCTTTTTGTATTTTCTCCACAATCGGAGTGAAGGAGGGTTCGGGGAGCCATTTAAAATTCGAGATTAATTCAAGCAAATATTCAAACTTTCTCTTCAATCAAGAGATGGCTAGGGCTAGAAGAAAGTAGAAATAGTAATCGGGTGCACAGTAAGGAGTTGCCCCCAGCACTCTTTACAGCGCCCGGGACACCTGTGCAGGTTTAATAAATTACAAAGCACTTCCGCAGCTATTATACATGTGCTTTTCAAAACAGATCCTAGGGTTTTCCAGAAAGATATTATTATTCCCATTTTATAAGAGTCAGCAAGCTCATAGAAAGTTAGTGGATTTTTTCTTTTCTCAACATGGCCACAGTTTCATACTCAATCCACTTTTTAAAAAACGTTGTTGATGTATTTTATGTGCATGATTTTCTTTTCCACATATTTGCTCAAAGGCTGCAAGATAGAGTGAGGTGTCAGACACCACCTCAGCTGGGGACTGCGGAGGGCGCAGGGTAGGCGGGTGGAGGCAGCGGAGGCGGCAGGCATGGAACCAGGCCCGTGCGTCCTAATGTATTCACTGTGCTCAGGGCTCGCTCTGCGTGGCCAGCTGCCAGAACTCGCCCAGGCCAGCTGCTCACTCACTCACGGAGCAGGGCCTTCCCTCCACCAGCTGACATCAGCACCCCCTCTGGCTGGAGAAGAGGCCAGCCACTTGAAACCTAAGCACCTGTAGCTTCCAGAGGTGACAGAAGGTCCCCACGACTTTCCTGGGGGCTTTGATTGCCTCTGTGTGACCTCATAGACCCAAGCTTGTTCCTGACCTGGTCTCATCGTCTGAAACCTGTGTCCCTCTTTGTAGTATAATAGCCATCTCTATCCCCAGCTCCCCTGACCCAATTCGCCGCCCACCCTCCTCTCTCACACACACACACACACACACACACACACAGCCTCCCTCTGCTGCCCCCTCTGGGTCCAAAAGGACCTCCCAGGCCAGCTAACCCTTACAGACCCAGCAGGCCTGGCACCGCTGTCTCCCCAGGTCCCACCACCCATCATCTGCCGGGGCAGAGAGGGCTCTGGGCGCTTTGGGAGTAGGCTGCCTGTGGAACTGTCACACGAGCCAATATTGGGAGAAAGGCCCTGGAATCTCAGGAGCCAGCGGGAGCCTCAGTGCGGTCAGCCTTGGCCTCAAGACAGAGGGCACTCTGCCTGCGCTCTGCAAACTGCACTTCCTCCACAAGCGCTCACCGCAGCCCAGGCATGGTCACTCCCCTACCCCCACCTGCTCTGCCCCTGACCTTGGAGCAGCTCCTCAGAAGCAGGCAGGCACGACACTGCCTGAGCTCAGAGTGGGGCACGACACTGCCTGAGCTCAGAGTGGGAGGCCTCTGCACGTGTGTGCTCTGCCTCCAACGCCCGGTGAGCCCTACACGTGGTGCTTCATGAAGCGTTTCACATTCACCGCCTCCTTCGATCCAGACATCAACCCACTGGGGCCATCTTGTTATCCCAGGTTAAGGCTCAGGATGGGGAAGCTCGTGCCCAGTCAACAGCACAGCCCACTGGGTTATCCGTGCCTGGTCCAGGCTCCGACAAGGAGCTCTGCGGACACCTTGGCAGGGTTTTGATAGCCGGCTGCCCAGGGAGGTGGGTCCTGGTTCTTACCGAGATGGGAAGCAGCCAATGATACGAAGGCCCAGCACTTCGCACTGGTGCTCACGGAGGGAAGGCCCAGGAACACACCGAGTGTCATGCTGCCGGCCCCCGCCTGCCCCTTCCCCAGCCGAGCACTCTCAGGGCTTCGAGCCCGAGGCCTGCGGGAAGCAGAGGTACCAGGCGTGCACCCATCAGGACGTCCAGCTGTGGCCCAAGCAGGTCTCTCCAGGACAGAGGCCTTGGCCAGGCCCAGCGGCTGAGCCAGCCCAGCCTCACGGGTTCTCTGTCTTCCCGCAGGTGGTGGAGGTGGCTGGAATGATAACACTTCCTTGCTCTGGTCTGGAAAATCTTTGCTGGAGGGTGCCACCGGAGGACAGTCGTGCCCCCAGGCCATGAAGAAGTGGGGGTGGGAGACCAGAGGGGGTTTCGGAGGGGGTGGAGGGGGGTGCTCCTCAGGTGGAGGAGGCGGAGGATATATAGGTAAAGATGATTTGTGTTCAAGGTGTCACCCCCTCCCTCTTAGTCCTAGGCCCCTCACCTCTCCCAGCCCTCGCCTGCCCTCCCCTGGCCGCCCAAGTGTGGACTGTGATGTGACCGTGCACGCCTGCCTTAGCCCGGGCACCAGCCAGAGGCAGGGTGTTGGCTTGCGAGCCAGCATCCTGCCTCAGGGCTTCCATAGCGACCGCATCAAGATCCTGTGTGGTTCTTGATCACCCCCAAAGCCGATGACAAAGGGGCTTTGGCTTCCCAGACTGTTCTCAGAGCCACCCTAGGGATGTGCTGGCTTGAGAACCTCAGAGGCCAGACTTCTGAACCCCATGCCTCCCTTTGGATGGCCTGGCCCCTGTCTTTGCAAGCCAGCTCCCTAGGGGCCTGGCTTGTGGCTTCTGGCCTCAAGGACGCCTCACTTTCCCTTTCCTGCCCCAGCCCACCAGCTCCAGAATGGCCCACTCTCCATGCTGATGGGCACTCCTCCCGGGGGCAACGGCGGGCAGCCCCAGCCCGGCCGGCCCAGCCCAGTCCTTGGGCAAGCAGCTGGCCACTGGCCCGGCTCTCCTCTGGGCTAGCGCAGAGCAGAAGCGCCTTCTGAAGCTGAGAGGCTGGGAAATGGTGTCTCCTCCGTCCCCACAGATTAGGACACAATGCATGCACACACCGCGATGTTCTGTCTGTGTTTTGCTTTGATGTTTGCCTTAACCAGATGCTCTCTTTTCTAAGCCATGGCTGGGTGGGAGAGCCCAAGGGGGGAGCCCAGAGAAAAGCCAGCCCCAGCTGAATGGAGGGACAGGAGCCTACAGGCACAGGGGCCCTTCCCCCACGTCCCTACCCTGACCCCAGGGGACTGGAGAGCAACTTCTCAGTGCCACTGCCTGGCCAGTCCTGGAGGAGGCCCTGGGGCTGACCCAACCTGGGAGACTAGACCTTGGCCGGTTCTTGTTCACGTGCACTGCTTCCTGCAGCCCCATATAGTGGGGACACCTGGTGGGAGCGGGCCTGGACCTGGAGGGGAAGGTGGCCCACACCCAGCATCTACTGAGCCCAGGGCAGCCCTGTGCCTGAGCCTCCCTTCCCTCCCACCGCCCACCCTCCAGCCCCCTGCCCCAACCCCCTGCATGACCCGCTTACGTGCACGTGTGTTGAGATTGGGCACCCACCTCTCTGCGTTAAACTTCTCTGGTTTGCCCCAGGCGGCAACGCAGCCTCAGACAATGACCCTGAGATGGACGGAGAGGATGGGGTGTCCTTCATCAGTCCCCTGGGCATCCTGTACACCCCGGCTTTAAAAGGTACCCCCTCTGCCAGGTGCAGAACCAACTTCCTTAGGCCAGTTCTCCCACCCAGCTGAACCCCGGGCTGCTGGCAGGAGCCCAGGTTACAAAGGCGTGACTATGGGTCTCATCCCACCAAGTGTCCTGGAGTCGGGAGTGTGGTCTCATGTGGGCACAGAGGCGGAAGCCTGATGACCAGGCAGGCCAGTCCTAGAAAAGGCAACAGCATTAGGGCTGTCCCCGTCCCGGCCACTTGAGGAGCAGGTGTGTGGACCCCCCACCCCGACCCCGGCCTACATAAATACATCCAAACAGCCTCTGCGCCCCCCTCGCCAGAGGCACCGGGCCCTTCCCACATAGAGCAGCACTCCGGGGCAGTGCCCTAGGGACAGGGACCGAGAGCCCACACTGGGCAGGCTGGGAAGGGCGCAGGCTGGGAAGGGTGCAGGCGGCACAGGTCCGCCCAGCTAGACGCCCTCCTTGCCCACAGTGATGGAAGGCCACGGGGAGGTGAATATTAAGCACTACCTCAACTGCAGCCACTGCGAGGGCGACGAGTGCCACCTGGACCCCGAGAGCCACCAGGTCATCTGCTTCTGCGACCACGGCACCGTGCTGGCTGAGGACGGGGTCTCTTGCGTTGGTAAGGGGCTGGGCTGGGGCCCAGAGGGTGAGCCACAGCTGGTCTCCATGGTTCAGGGACACGTGGGACCCAGTCTCATTAACTTCCTGACCCCGCTCCTTGGTCTGCCCCAGCATGAGTGCTCTGACAACTAGGCAGAGACCTGAGAGTGAAGGATGGGTCGTGGCTCACGAAGGACTCTGAGTCACCTAGTGCCACCCCTAACCCAGGGCGTGAACCCGCACACCCAGCCGTCTCCGCTAGAACAGGGACCTGCGTTCCAAGGCTCGCCCTTCCTCCAGGGCGTTCCAGAGCCAGACCTGCTCTGCAGCGCCCGCCCCTCGGTCTCCCCAGCCTTTCCAGGGTGTCCCCTGCAAGTCCCCTCCAGATTGGATGACCCTGGTTCAGCCCATTTGCACAGGACACCGTCGTCTCCTCTCCTCCTGTGTCCCACGTCTGCAGCTGTTCCAGTTGTCACGTCTCTTTTGAGATGCAGTGTCGGGGCCAGGCAGGACCTCGGTGTGGTCTGTGCCGGTGCGGCGCTGGGACACTCCCTCCTGGGCTCTGGGCGGCGTTCTCGGCCACAGGAGGTGATTCCGAGGGTGCACCCTGTTGTTGGGTCATCCTAAGGTCACTGTCATCCAAGGCCTGGAACGCTCCTGTGAGCCATTGCCGGCTCACCTTGTAGCCTCACCCCGCCATCGGACAGTCTGTATCTTGGATTAATGTCCATTTAGACTTGTTACATGTTCCCTCCACCCCAAAGCTGCTGCTGAGGGCTGTGAAGCCGGGCGAACCTGCCTCCAGCCCCTGGTCCTTTGAAAAGGAAGGTGGGCCTGTCTCCAGGGCTGAGAGGAGCAGGCAGCTGTGGTCCTGGCCGGGGCGGGCATTTCTGATGGGGCTGCTCACAGGAGCGTCAGCGTGGTCACCGGTGTCTCCTGGGGACTGTCTTCCAGTGTCGCCCACCCCCGAGCCCCGCCTGCCACTCTCACTCATCCTCTCCGTCGTGACCTCTGCCCTCGTGGCCGCCCTCGTCCTGGCATTCTCCGGCATCATGATCGGTGAGTGTGCCACAGCCCTGGCTGCCTAGGGGAGGCAGGGGAGGCAGGACAGAGCAGCATCTCGGGCTCTGCACAGATCCCGAGTGACACTCTGGGTTGTGACCAGGCAGCCCAGGCCCCGCACAGCTGTGGCTCCCTAGGAGCCCTGGTTCTGAACCTCAGCCCGACTCCTGGCTGCTCTCGGGGAGGCTGGTGGGGCACTCTGCAGGTGGGTCCCCAGCTCAAGCGCAGCCCCGCCCTCACCCCCGGACTTCACCTCCAGCTCCCATCCCAGCAGGCACTGCCCCTCGTGGCTCACGCCCCAGCACCGCCTCCAGCCCCCTTCCTGCCACAGGCGGAGAATGCAGAGTTGGTGTGTGAGTTCCCTGTTAGGCCTGGAGCCCTGGCGAGCTGATGGGCAGGTCGCAGAGGGCTCAGCATGGCCCTGCAAGGCTCCTCCTGCTGGAAATGCCCAGGACAGGCGGGCAGGGACAGGAAAGCAGGCAAGGGAAAGGCTCAGCTCTGAATCCCAAGTCGCCCGATGATCACGGCTGCACAGTTCATGGCGCAGGGAACTGAGAGCTGGCTCACTCGCCAGCGGCCGTAGGGGCAGAGCTGGGCTTAGAGGCAGACTCCACCTGTGGGTCACAGTTGCGGGCTCCCTCCCCTGGAGTTATTCTACAGAACATTCTCGCTATGCAAAACAGAGATAATGCCTTTGCATGGTAGAGCTCTTTAGAATTTTTCAAAACCATTTAATATTGGTGAATTTGTTTCATTAGGACAACCCTAGGCGGTGGGGTGTGGGACAGGGCAGGGGTTACTTTCCCTGTTTACGCAGGAGATTGGGGTCCAAAGAGGTCACATGACCTAGTCAGTGGCACTGGGCTTGTAAGTAGCAAAGGTGAAATTAGAACTTGGGTCCTCAGGCACCAGCATAGACGCCAGTTTAGAGACCTATTTGCTCTGGCAGTTCAACTCCCAGAGGCTCAGTGACGGTGAGCCCAGCTGCTCTCAAATCCATACCATGTTTGCACCACCCGGAGACTGGGCACAGCGAGACACTGAAGCGGCCTCTTCCTGAGGGACACGGCTCCTCTGAGGGCCACTGTGGCTCCAGAACGTCCCCAGTGCTTTGCTGGACCGTCTTTACACTGCATGGCCGTCGAGGGCTGTGACTCAGCCTCCCTCACTCTCCTGTACACGGGGCCAGACTTTCAGCACAACCTGGTGGTTCCCCAGCCTTCCCGGGCCCCTCCCCATTCCCTCTCAGCCATTTGCCCTGTGAAACTCTGCATGTTTAATCCTGTCTTGGGTCTGCTTCTCAGGGGACCCAAACTAATGTCTCTCTGCCCCTGTATGAGACAGCAAAATCTTTTATTTACATGATATTAAGCTTTACATTAACCTTAAATAATGTCGATTAAAAGTACACTTTCACGTGTTAGTATTACTAAGTGTGATGGAAAGGTTTAGATCCCAGAGGAGGAGATGGCGGTCCGGGAAGGCTTCCTGGAGGAGGTGGCCAGTGATGGGCTTCCAGTGCTGGGCTGCCTGGTCCAGGCCACTTCCATCTGTCTGCAGTGTACCGCCGGAAGCACCAGGAGCTGCAAGCCATGCAGATGGAACTGCAGAGCCCCGAGTACAAGCTGAGCAAGCTCCGCACCTCAACCATCATGACCGACTACAACCCCAACTACTGCTTTGCCGGCAAGACCTCGTCCATCAGTGACCTGAAGGAGGTGCCACGGAAAAACATCACCCTCATTCGGTGAGTGCCCCGGCCATCCTTCAGGGAAAGGGGGTGTTCTAGGGGTTGGCTGCCATCCCAACACAGGTTCCTCTAGCCACCGGAGGCCAACGGAAGTGAAAGTTACTTTTAATCGAAACTCCTAGGGCACCCCTAACCCTCCCAGAGGGAGAAGGTTTAATGTTCAGGGCCATTTGAGGGGCATTAAATCACTCAACACCCTGTATATTCAAGGGGTTTGTACAATGAGAGGAAGACTACATGGGAGGGACCAGGACTCTCAAAACCCACACAAGTGCCCTCCCTGAGCCTTCCTGGCCCCTTTCTCCCCTGATGGAGCCAGGTGGCCTCCTCCGAGCTCCCAGACACCCTGTGCATGTCACTCACTGAGCACCACACAGAAGTGTCTGTCAGCCATTTGTCCCTCCCTCCCTCCCCCAGAGTGCAAACCTTCAGGGCGAGGGCCAGGTCTCAGTCACCTCTGTGTCCTTGGCAAATGTCAGACTCAAGTCTTCCCTGAAGGACTGTCCACCACTGCCATGTCTCCCAGGCTGTCACATCTCCTGGCAGTTCTCAGACAAAGCAATGGAGGCCCGGGGCTGAGTAGCAAAGCCAGGGTGAGGTGTGACCTTGAGTGTGTGTGTGCCCCCTTCCTCTCGGCCTGCCCGCCTACACCTCGTCTGGCCTTCTCCTTCGCACAGGGGTCTGGGCCATGGTGCGTTTGGGGAGGTGTATGAAGGTCAGGTGTCTGGAACGCCCAACGACCCGAGCCCCCTGCAAGTGGCGGTAAAGGTAAGCGGGGTCCCTCGGGGGCTGGAGCTTGGCCAGCGGTCTCTGTTGGCCACGGTCTTTGCCGACAGCCCTCCTGCGGCTAAAGGCCTTCTCCCCTCTGTGCCCAGACGCTGCCTGAGGTGTGTTCCGAGCAGGACGAGCTGGATTTCCTCATGGAAGCCCTGATCATCAGGTAGCGTCACAGAGACACCCCACCGCCCACATGCACGTGCTTCTGACAGATGTCCCAGAGGGAACCCCCTCCGCACACCCCTCCCTCTCCAACAGCAGACTCCCCCAGTTCTCAGCATGGCCTCCCAGAATGGAACAGCCCCCCAATGGTTGTCACCGGGAAAAATCTCTCTTACCCAATAATCCAGTTGGTACTACTCTGCCTTCAGCTAACATCCATTCATTCTTTTCCCTGCTTCTTCCACCAGCCCCAGCTCCCCCGTGTGCCCCTCACATGGTGGAAGCCTGCCCCCCCAACCCCCCCCCCCCCCAGGTCCACGCAGCAGCCTGCAACTCGTGGTCCGAGGCCCCTAACTGGGAATCCCAGTGCCAGGGCTCTGACAGCAGATCACGTTAAGGAGGACTCAGGGGTTTGACCGTGAGATCTGGCAGCTCATGGCCTCCCGTTGCCCTGCAGAGCCTCAGACATCCTGAAGGTTGGGGCAGCCTGGGCCCGCCCCTCGGTGGAAGTGGCCGAGGGAAGGAGGCCCCAGCAGTGTGTGTGTGATGAGCCTGTGGCATCTGGAGCCACAGGAGGACAGACAGCAGGCTCTGTACTTGTTTTAAAATTACTTACTTTCCAGTTATACATGTAACTCATGATTATTGAATAAAACTTGGAAAGTATAAGACTATATGAAGAAGACTCAAGTCACTCAATCTCACTACTAGGCAATTCACCTCCTTGTGGATTCCCATGTGGAGTGCCTGGCCCATCACCCCATGAGTGGGAACAAGATCACATGAATAAGAAAACCCAAATCCCAGGGCCTCCAGATGGAATCCACAATGGGAGCCAAACGCCCCTCTTTCACACGCCGTCACCTGGCAGGTCTCACCCTGTCCCTGTGGAAGGAGTCCCCGTGCTTCTGCCTGAGGCCGGCCTCAGAGGACTCAGACGTGAACCCTAGCAAGCAGCCCGTGCTTCCGTCTCAGAAAGACACTGGACGCTCCCCTGTCTCCCACCCACTTTCTCACCCAAGTGTCTGTGCAGGGCCTCCCGCCTCCCACCAAATGCTCTCCTGCAGCCTGAGCTCAGCCAGGCCTGCCCTCTGGCTCTTCACCTGCTCAGGGGCGAGACAGTCTCAGCTTAGGCTCAGCACAGCCCCTGCTTCCAGCATCGACAGAGTGCATTTACATAACGTGGCCGCTGACAACATAACTGTATCCTGCTTTCCCCACTGGTTTTTCAGACTCAGCTCAGTTACATTTGCTTACCCCCCTCTGCTCTGCAGCAAATTCAATCACCAGAACATCGTGCGTTGCATCGGAGTGAGTCTGCAGGCCCTGCCCCGGTTCATCCTGCTGGAGCTCATGGCGGGAGGAGACCTCAAGTCCTTCCTCCGGGAGACCCGCCCTCGCCCGGTGAGTCTCCCCAGTTCTTGTGCCAGGAACGGAGCAAGGCAGCTGGGAAGCAACTCCTCAGGGGGCCCCAGGAGTCAGCCCCTGGGCTTGGATGTGGGGGAATGGCCAGAAGAGAATGAACAAAAGTGGACAATGGCCCTGGGAGCTCATGCAAGGCCTGTGCAATGGATTCTCCAGTCTGGGCCCATTCGTATGACCCGCTGACTATGGACAGGCAGAGAGAGGGACAGTTGTGCCAAACAGGTCGCTCACCCAACCAGCTATATCCATTCACCCTGAACCCCACTGTCATTTCGCAAACGGCAACGTCCTGACCTTATAGTTTGACTATCAAAAGCAAGTATGAAAATATCTAGGAAGGTGCTGTGTGTGTTGTAGCAAAAGGGCTAGAGGCCTCGGTGGGTCCAGGAATGCCACACCCCGGCCCTGCTTGGCCATTACACAGCCTTGTGGCTTAGGGCAGACTACCCAATCTAACCTCCGTGTCTGCAAGGTAAAGTCCAAGGGGTGGACTGGGACATCTCAGACATGGTCCTAAACTATAAAACGCAGCACGCTGGGTGGGCCCGGAATCCAGCTACCCACTGTTGTCACTGCCAGGGTCTTTGGGAGGCCCCGGGCACCAGGAACTAGAGCAGAGCAGACCCTGAGTGAGGACCTGGCTTCTCAGAGGTGCCACTGGTCAGTACGGGCTACAGGGAAGAATTGCACCCTCCCACCCGCCGGAAAACAGAATACAGACAGACACCTGCTGCAGAAAGCCCGGGACTGAACATTCCGCTCTCAGACCTCCAAGTGGCGGCAGGAACCTTGGAAGGGCACACCTGCTCCAACCCCTACCTCCAGTCAAGCTCGCTTAGAAGAGCTTACCCTGTGGAGCCTCCACACTGTTCCTGGAGGCCCTGGGGGACCCACCTTGGCATTTAAGGATCCCATCGAACTCCTTGGAAAGTGAGTTTGTGTGCGCCAGAGCACACCTGGCAGGAGGCTGTGGGCAGAAAGAAAGACAAGCCCATTTCATAATGGTCCTCATTACGTTATCCTCCTCCTCCTCATAGCTTTCACGTTTCTCAGAAGCACTCTGTGAAGTAAATAGCACCTTTCACAGCTGAGAAAACTGTGGCTCAGAGAGGGCCTCACAGGAAGTGGGAGAGCTGGGACCAGAACTCAGGACTATGACTCCCGATTCACTGCTTGTCCCAACCCACTGTGCTCTGTATCCCAATGCTCCCCTTTGGGAAGCTGTGGACTGTCAAGGAGAGGTTGGGTCACTCAGGGACAACCCTGTGAGCCATACGGGCATCTCTGCCAGGGTCTGAGCACCAACCTCAATGGCTTTTCCATCACCACCCACCCAGGCGGAGCCCCCAGCCCTGTGCCGAGGTTCTCAGCGGAGCTGGCAGAGGTCAAACGGGGCACGTGTGGCATGCACTTCGGGAAGAGGCACGGCTCTGGTTTCCCCACTGGGCATTCCTGAGGCTTGAGCAGGAAACGTATTGTGCATGCAACGGAGAGCTCGGGGATCTGTGCAGGGATCTGGGAGCCCATCGCTTGGCAAGTCCAAGATCCCGGACTTGGGCTTGCCCTGTGCACCTAAGGCAGGGCCTGATGTTCCATGGGCAGACAGTATCCCCTCTTCGTCTGCCCCGGAAAGAAGCGTGACTCCTCTCACCTCCCCCGCCCACACTGCTGCTCCAGGGAGTCCTGGGGAGGCCCTGATCGGTGGCAGAGACACTCCCAGCTGACATCTAGGTACATCCTCGTTCATGTGTAATCAACTACCCCAATATTTACTGAACCACTGCAGTGTGCCACGCGCTGTGCTGGTCCCGTGGAGGTGGCCGCTGAAGTCCCTGCCTCGGGGACCTCAGAGTTTACTTGGGGACGAGGTCAAACACACAGAGGACAACAATGCGAACAGGACACTGCGTGATGACAAGCTGCTGCAGACTTGGGGGTTTCGGAATTAAAAGTGACACCAAGACAGGATGCAGTCTTTAGAAAAGGCTCCCCCAGCTCCCCAGGCTGGCGGGGTGGAGAGGGGAGGAGGAAGGGGCCTGCACCCAGAGGCGGGCGGCCCTCATTCGGAAGAGCTTGAAATTGCTCTTCAGCTGCCCAGCATTTTCCAAAAGCTTTCTCTTTTCAATCCACAGTTGGCCTGGACATCCTTGAAGGAAATTAATATTTTTAAATATTTTAAAACATTTAGAGGATTTTAAATACAACCTTATCCTCCTTGATTTTTCTCACAGCCTTGTTTGTAAGTTTGGGGATTCAGATGCCTATGAATATTGAGACAGAAAAATGTGCAGAATCACTGATCAGGGGCAAGGACACCTGCCCCTCCTGGCTTCCCATAGTTCGGGGTTCCCAGCCCCGGCTGCACCGTTACTCACCTGGAGCAGCGTGAGACCTGCAAATGCTGCACCACCTGGAGTGATTGGCTTCCTGGTGGGGCTGAGGCCCCGGCATCCCTATTGGTTTAAATCTGCCAGGTGATTTTCTAATGGGAAGCCAGGTCGGGACCTTGGAGGACAGCGAGTCCAGGTTTGGCCTCCTTGGGGGCACTTGAACTTGTGTTTCAGGTCTTCTCTCCCCCGTGAGCCTCTCACCAATGGATCATTTCTGTCTCCCCACAGAACCAGCCCTCCTCCCTGGCCATGCTGGACCTTCTGCACGTGGCCCGGGACATTGCCTGCGGCTGCCAGTACTTGGAGGAAAATCACTTCATCCACCGGTGAGTCCACACGCCCTGCTCTCCTCCCGCCTTCTGCATCTTCCTTACCCGTCTCAGGCCCAGCAATGATGGGTCTCCCTCCAGTGAGGACTCAGCTTTCTTTGTCTTTACGGTGACAGCTTACTCATCAGGGCTTCATTTGCCCCGTATGTAAAATGGGTATCAAAATACCACCCAGCTGGAGACCCTGAGGAGCTGCTCTTAACCCCTGCCTGTGACTTGAAGGAAACCTTCAAGTCCCGTATCACTTGAACGCTCCCTCTCCTAAAAGCTGAGCTCCTTGCCCGGCCGTTGTGACTCTGTGATTAAGTGTCGACCTATGAACCAGGAAGTCATGGTTTGCTTCCCTATCTGGGCACATGCCCGGGTTGTGGGCTCAATTCCCAGTGTGGGGCATGCAGGATGCAGCCGATCAATGATTCTCTCTCATCATTGATGTTTCTCTCTCTCTCCCTCTACCTCCCTCTCTGAAATCAATAAAAATATATAAATTCAATTAAAATAAATTAAATTAAATAGAAACTGAGCTCCTTAAGGCACGTTAAAGGAGTTCATAGTTTCACACACTTGACTATGAGTGCTCAAAGGCAAGGACCCTGTTTTATTCATCTTCATATCCCTGACACATAGTGAGGCACAAGGAATGTTTGTTGGATAAATTAATTTTTCTGAAATGAGCATAGTGATTATTTGATTTACTTGTACACCTGACTTCTACTCCACCGGATCCTCGTGTTTCAATGGTGTTTGGGCTACGACCCAAGGCCACGGGCCATGCTGTAGGCATCAGAGCATGCAGATCTCTGTCCTGTGGCTGCGCGGGACTTTCTCAGCCAACAGCTTACTTCTGAAATCCGAAAAGTCCAAGAGATTGTCATGAAGCATCCATCTTATATAAAAACTGCTGTTTGAAATTTTAGCCCTGCATTTTGGCTTCTGTAATGCTTGCTGGCTTAAATAATAAGGAAAATAAGACTACTCCCATTCCAGAGAGGCCATTAAACCTTCTCCAGACAAAGTTATCAGTGCTGGCACCAGGCCAAGCCTTTGGTTGAGGTCTCAAAGCCCCAGCACATAGGGCCCTTTAAGAACTTGCAAAGGGAACCGGAAAAAAAAAACCCATATTTGGGAGACAAAGAAGGTAAAACAGTATAAATATGGGAAACTTTGTGTGTGATTTCACCCACAATTTGAGAGACATTTTCCTCTGGGCCCGCGCATAATAAATGTAACTCCATCTCTCTAAGCATTGCTTGGTTCTTCTCCGGTTTTTCTGTAACAGTCGGGCTCTTTGCAAAGCTCTTCCTAATGATTCCCTTCTAATTTCGTAAGTAACAGCCTGGTGAATTAACAATTATGTGTTAGCTCACGTCTCCAAAGGGGATAGGCATATTCCTAATAATTAGGATATGAAATACAAAGTAGAAAAGGAGAGGTGCTGCCTGAGGCTAGAAATGGAAGAGCATGTGCATAGCAGGAAGCTCTGCCTCCTCCCTAATAAAAATGGGGAACTCAAGATCAAGGCATACACCCACCTGGCTGCCCAAAGTATTCCCGAAGCCAGGCTGCAAACCCTCACACGGCCTTATCTTTTTGTCACGGCACCTGTGGTCTGCAGTTCTTCCTCTTGATTCTCAACCTTCCCAACCTCCTGTTCTCCTCCAAAGCCACACCCCCTGCTTCAGGGCGCAGGTCAGTCTGCCGTGTTGTTCTTGCCCTGTCTGTGTGCCCAGAACTTTGCCTGCATCTCAGCTCTTTACTGTCGCATGGACATGACAAAGCTGTGCCCTTTGTGGAATTCGTCCTTGGTTACAGCCACCTTTGCATCAATGTCTATGTCCTTTACGACTGGACCATCCGAGAGCGACCTGTACAGTCACCTTGGTGCCTTCAGATGTCCCCCTTTGCTTCTCCCCGAGAGCATCTCTGCTTTGTCGTCTCCTCTTGCAGCATCACCGAGCAGACACACTCCCTGGCTGAGGGATCCCATCCATCTTTCCTCCAATGTGTTGAAACCTGCTTTCCTGAAGCCATGATACCTGGGACCATATCCAGGGCTCTGTTATTAGAGATAATAAGATAACAGGGCCCCATTCTCTCAGGACTTCCATCGCCTCCGTATCTGCGAAGAGTTACTGAATGAAGGTCAGGATTTGATCCCAGAGTAATAGCTTGTTGCTCCTTTGATCTTGTTTGAGAAATGAAATTGTCAGAGATAAATCAAGAATGTATCAGATGATCTGCTTTATAAGCAAAAGGCGGCTTCGGGCAGAAATTGACTGTCTCGATCCAAGCTTTGCTTCTGGGGAGCTCGGTATTAGGAAAGCATCTTTTGCATCTCCAACGGGCTGCGAGGTCTGTGGCGCATGTGCACAAAAGGATCACCTCTCATTCTCTCTCCTCCACCCTTTGTCTGCCCCCGATTCCCAGGCTCCCATGCAAGGGCACCCCCTGAATTCAGAGTGAACGCCCCCACACACTCCCATTTTCTACTAGGTCTGTTTCCTTTGGTTGTAGTTTTTTACCACTTCACAAATTATGTGTCATTCTACCAATTCCTGGTGTGTTCTATGATACTATATTTACTTTCTTGCCATTAAATTCAAGATCACTTTTTGAAGCAACCATTCCACGCACATCAGCGTAAAGACCTTTCTGGAGCCATAAATACTGTCCCTGGTCTACTTCGCCGTATTTCTCTTGAGAAGTAATGGCTATATATCCCGCTATATTTCTTCTTTTTGGTGTCATACCTGTTACGCTTCTATGGTTTTATTAGGGCATTTTATGCACATTGCTCCTCGAAATTCAACTTAAACCTCTGGGTCAGGTCCGTGGTATCAACAACATCCATCTCCCTCCCTGGCCCATCGTTCTGGTTTCCTAAGCCACAATTTCCCATCCAGATCTTGTTTTTAAGACACACTACAGTTGTTTATGCTGCACGTCCTTCTCGACCAAAGATCAGGACCTGCACGAAATCAGTCAGAAACATCAAGCACCAGCTGTGGCTCCCAAGGACTGCTACTTGTTTCTGCCCTGGACTTGTTAGGCCACCCCAGACTCCCCTGGCTGCACCCTGCTCCCACTGGAAGGCCAGGAGTGGGGGAGCCAGCAGTCAGTGAGGAGTGGCGAAGCCTCTGGCTGTGCCTTAGGATGCTGCCGGCAGGCAGGCCACCTGGTGCTCAAAGGAGAAGAGAATGTGGCTCCAGAACCTGGAAGAAGTGATTCTTCAGCCGCTGGCTAGGAGGCAGGCAGCTTAGCAAAGACTTTGGAGGAGATCCTGGAGGGGAGAACCACCATGGCTGATTAACAAGGACAACTATAGATATGTGGGCATACCTTAACCTACTTGAATTTGGTATCATGGAAGCCATGCCATTCCAGAAGATGCCTTCAAACAGCTGGCAGAAACCAACCGGCAAGCTGTACACACAGTAGCTTCAGACTGCCTTGGTCCCTCTATTATCTTCTTTTAGCTTAATTTGTTTAATGAAATGAAGATAATCGCACCCTTTATCTCATAGGGTTGTTGTGAGAATTAGATATGAAGCACTTAGGACAATACTTAGTACATGGTAAAAGGCCAATAAATTCTAGTTTCTATTATGGTTATTTTCATATTATTGTCCTAATAAACATTTTCAATCATCTCCCTAAGCATTTCCCATTTCCCTTCTGAGGCCTAGAATTGGCATGGCTATCTCTTTTCTATGGAGTGTAACGCAGTAAAGGAAGCATAGAGCTGAGGCAGGAACTACTCACCCTTCCGACGAGAGGTGACAATCCTAGTGCTGAAACTGCACGTGCAATCTCCCAGGCGGAATAAGAAAATGCGTTTCCCATTGATTTGTTCCCAGGGACATTGCTGCCAGGAACTGCCTCTTGACCTGTCCGGGCCCTGGAAGAGTAGCCAAGATTGGAGACTTCGGAATGGCCCGGGACATCTACAGGTGAGCAAAGACCGCGTCACCTTCTCAGCCCAGCCCTCGGGAGAACGGGATGTGGCTGCTTGTGTCCTAAATCATCGCTGGCACCTTGTCAGCTTGCTGCCTAAAATTTCATTACGTTCCTTTGCAGGGTGCGGGGAACCTTAATTAGTGCCCACACTCGACGGTCTAAATCCAGAGTCACACTGCCCGCCATGACAGACACCAAGGTCTTCATTAGATGGTGTCCGGTTTCAGTGCTCCATCCTAACACATTCTGAGACACAGAATAACTGGGATACGCAATATGGAAAGAGTTTCTATGTAAACGTTAACTCAGGAAGTCCAAGCGGCCTTAGTTTCCATGGCCAGGCAAGAGCACCCCGGAACTGGCCGGATGCCGGGCCCAGCTCATGGGTCGCCTTTACCCACACGAGGAGACACGGAGTAGAGCTCAAAGCCCATGGGTACCGAGCTCAGCTCATTCTTTTTCCCATAATATTCTCAAGACTACATTTTAAAACGTAAAATAATTTTTAATTAAAAAACTACTTCTTTGCACTTTATCTCACGTTACTTCTTTATCTAATCATTTACAACAGTGACCTGCGCCGTGAGCTGAGCAAGCCACTCAGGGCGTGGTCACTAATCACGTCCCTAATCCAGAGAGCGGAGGGAGGTCGTGCAGGGCTCTTACTGTTGGAGGGTTAGGGAGACCCCTGAGGCCTCTGTCAGAACTGGCTGCCATCTTCGAGGGAAGAAGGCCGACGCCATGCTGTTGCCACAGGGTAGCAGCTCGGGGAAGACTCTGAATTGGCAATGTTCTTGACCACAGTCTTCAGCACTGGTCTCCACCACGTTACCTTGGTTTGCTGCACTCTACCTTCTTTTGCTACCCAAAGTCTCAGGGTTCCCTCCCCTCCTTCCTCAGAGGACCCCGGGGTGCCTGTGGTTGATGACACTAATGTCTCAGCATGGCTTAGCAAGCCCTTCCCCTCCATCCTCGCTCTCACAGTCCCCCCCACCCCCCAGACTCCAGGCTTCACCCCCAACCTGTCCCACGGCTCCCACATGCACTGCAATTTCAGCGTCAGGATGGTGTTCTGGGGGAGCTTCCTCACCATCAGCCCTCCCCCCCACCTCTGTGAATCACTTCCTGCCCCCGCCCCGCCCTGAGCAGAACATCACTCCTTCACTGAGTCATGGAGCCTCTGCACCCTCCCTCACTACATGCTGCTCTTACTGCGTGTTCTTGCGTCTGTTTCTCCCACTAAACCCTTTCCTTGGAAGACTTATTTATGTCCTCGCCACACGGCAGAGCACCTGATACACTCTGAACACTCAGTATTGTTTGTTGAAGTGATTAATGAAGCCAGGCAGCTGGTAGGAAAGCTGCCTCCCACGGTGTCAGGAGAGCACAGGCCGAGGGTGGAGCCAGTGTCAAAGGCATAGAAGGTAATTGATTAGTTTTCATCAGTGACTTGCACTAATGACATCACCGATAAAAGATAATAAATTAACTCATACCTGTTCCGCTGCCTGGCGTGCTTGTCACGTGCTTATGTTGAACTAGATGTGTGTGGCGCTAGGAGGGAGCCAAAGCGAGTAAGGCAGCCCTGCTCTCCGTGCTCCCACGTGGACCTTGCATTCCTGTGGCTCAGCAGGAGCAGGCTGCACGGACATGGCTGGAGTGATGTTGCTCATTGTGAGTCACAGCAAACACAGCCCAGCAGGGAGACCTCCCGGTCCTCTGTGGGTTCTCAGTCGTTGTGTAGATCTTGCCTTTTATGCCTACGGGGGGCAGTTTTGTGTCTCATTAAATGACAATACCGTTCTTAACCAAATGATGTGTTCCCCGCTCTCCTGAACCACAGACCTCATTGGCTTCCGTCCTTTCATGGGTAGATTGTTGCACTTGCTCAAGTTGCCTGGAGCTTCCGCTCAGAGCCATCTCCGAACCAAGTTCACTTTTCCCCTCCTCCCCCACAGAGCGAGCTACTACCGAAAGGGCGGCTGTGCGATGCTGCCCGTGAAGTGGATGCCCCCAGAGGCCTTCATGGAAGGAATATTTACATCCAAAACAGACACGTGGTGAGTCTTTCTGCTGCCCTCCCCCAGGTCCCACGTGGGCCCTGTGTCAGGCAAGGGTTGGAGAAGCGTCAGCACCCCGTCCACCAGCAGCCCTGGACGCTGGCACACATCCGCATCATTGGAAAGGCTCCTTAAACACATCACTGGCCCCTCCCTGGGAGTTTGTGACTCAGACCTGAGAATCGGCATGTCTTAAGTTTCCCAGGGCACTGATGCTGCTGGCCGGGGCACACACACGGAGAACACATGTAATTTTTTTTTCTTTTTTATATAACAAAGTTGGGTTTGGATTTATTCCAGGAGTGCAACATTGAGATGGGATTAGAAAATTGAGCAATAACATTCTCCACATTAACAGAATAAAGGAGAAAAGGGGGCACTAAAGGGCTGCTGACCATGGCGGTGAGACCCTCCCTACAACTGGGCCGTCGCTGTCCACAATCAGCTCTGCAGACTCCGCCACCCGCAGGTCCGCAGCTGTGTGCTCCCAGCCCCGCACCCACCGTCCTGCTCTGCTTCTGTAATGCCACATGCTGTGGGATCATGCAGAATTTCTCTCTCCATGGCCAGCTGATTTTACTTAGCATAATGCCCTCCAGGTTCACCCAGGTTTTCAAAGAAGACAGATATCCTCCTCTTTAAGGATGAAAATATCATACACATACACGCACACACATACATACACACAGGGATGAATAAAGAAAAGGTGATGTGTGTGGTTATATATACACATGTGTGTATATATTTATGTATTAATATATGTATTAGTATATATGTATTAGGATATTAATCTAGACACCCAGTAATTATTAATTATATCCTATATAATAAAAGGCCAGCCACCATAAGTGTAACCACCGGAATGACCAGAGGCCAGACCCACCACTGCCCCTTGCAGGGCTGGACCCACCCCCAAGCAAGCAGTTAGGGGCGATCAGGCAGGCAGGCCAGTGATTAGGGGCAATCAGGTAGGCAGACAGCCCCTCGCAGGGCTGGCCCCAGCCCCTAGCAAAGAACGAGGGAGGCCGAGGCCACCTGCAGCAACTCTGTGGCAGGTGTGCCGCAGGCCAGCAATAGGCCCGCCGAGGGAGGCCCAGGCCAGCCAAGCCATTGCACCCCATGCCTGTTGCCTGCAGAGGGAGGCCACCAGTGGCAGAGGAGGTGGGGGACAGTGCTGCACAGATGGCAAGCAGTGGCAGCGGCAGGGGTGGGGCCAGCTGCCTGCAGCGGGGAAGGAAAGCCCCATAGGCCCTGATCTCAGGCCAGGCCTAGAGACCCTACCTGAGGGGTCCTGGATTGTGAGAGGGTGCAGGCTGGGCTGAGGGACACCCCCTCCCACCCCAGTGCACAAATTTCATGCATGGGGCCTCTACTTGTTTAATAAAAAGGTTAGATAGATAGATACCACCTTTTCTTTATCCTTTCATCCACTGACAGACTCTAAGGTTGGTTCCATATCTTGGCTATTGTGAATAACGCTCAGTGAACATGGAGTGCAGCCATCTCTCTGAAATACTGATTTGTTTCTTTGGCTAGATCCCCAGAAGAGGGGTCGCTGGGTCATAAGGTAGGATTGCCGGGTCTGTTTTTAGCTTTGGCTTATTATCCTCACCCGATGGATCTCAAAGTGAGGTCTGTGGATCAGCAGCATCAGCACCACCTGGGAACTTGTTAGAAGCAAATTCTCAGCCGCCACCTCAGGCTAAGGAAGCAGAAACCCTATGGGTGAGCCCAGCACTCGTGTTTTAACGAACCCCCAGGTGATTCCTGTGTGCACCAACATTAGAGCACCCCAACCTACCCCATCCAGATAGAGAGAAATGCAGGTAATTAAGTCCTTATTCTGAACACATGCATGTCCTATTTCCCGTGATCCTAGTTCTAAGTGGAGAGCATGACACAAATAGACGAGCAAGGATGTTCATCTCAACATCGTTCACAATGAGAAGAAGCTACAACTGCCTCATGTCCCTGATATCGGGAATAAAAAAATGAGCTGTGGCTTAGTTATGTCACACGGAGCTGCTCAGCAGTGTACGAGCACACACTGCACCTCATGTATCCACATGGCTGAATTTCCGAGAAGGAACAGGGTATTATTTAATCGTACAATACAAACATTAAGTCCATAATACAGAAACTTTATTGTTTATGCTTTCACACATTGGGAAGAGCATACATGGAAGGAGACCTGCTAACTTCAGGGAAGCGGGGAGAGAGCAGGAAAGGGTGGCGGGTGGGGCTTGCCTGTATCTATTTTATTTCTTCAAAAAGAGGGAGAATGGTCGCAAATAAAGCAAAATATCAACATCTAGAAACAGGTATCTATCATTTTTCCTTTTAGAAGTTTAGGTTGTTTCATAAAATGTCTTAAGAAGCAAATAAGTCACATAACTTCAGATGCTAATGAGAGCTGGAGGCCGAGAAGCAGAGGGAGGCAGAGCAGGCTGTCTCAGGGTGGGGGTGGGGTGGAGTAGGCTCCGGAGGACGGGCTTGCCCACACCTGATGGCAGCGAGGCGCACTGGGAGGTCTGGGAAGGCTTTCCAGGCTGAGTGCAGGGACCGGGACTAAAGCGAGTCTCCTGGCGGGAGTGGGACGGCAGGCAGGCAGGAGGGCCTGGGGACCCAGGCTCCGGACGCGGATGTTATTCTGAGCACAACGGGAGCCTCTGAAGAGTTGGAAGCAAGAGTGTGACATGATCACTTTAAAAAAGGAAAGCACTTGCTGCCGTTGAAACAGGCTGGAGTAGGACAGGTGAGCAGGGGAAAGCACTCAGAAAATACTGCTCATTTCTAGGTAAGAGGTGAGAGGGCAAGGCCGCGGGGTGGCAGTGGACGCGTCCAGAGTGGGTGGGTTCAAGCTCGGTCTCGAGTAGTTAGGGAACAGGATGCTGGCTGGCCGCTGGTGTGGAGTGGGGTGTGGGAAGGGGACAGGATGCTGACCGCTGGTGTGGAGTCGGGTGTGGGAAGGGAACAGGCCCACTGATCACTGGAGTGGAGTGGTGCTGGGAGCCGGTCCATCCTTGCTGTTTCAAGGGACCTGGCATATATGGCATACTGTTCTTAATATGTTTGCTCACTTTCTTGGCACTATGTGTTTTAACCAAGGTCACCTCTCTGAGAAAGGTTGTTTCCCCAGGTAGGGATTTTCCCCTGAAGTTAGGGAGGGAATAAAACCCCTTAACTAAGTGCCAGGTGGGTAATTAATCACTTTAACTACGAACAATCATGCTTAAGCTACATAATCTTTACTCCCTGGAATGGAGATAAGAAACGCCCTAACCTTTGGAATAGAGATTGATAGGATTGGATTCAACTGGTATAAATACAGATGTAACAAGACAACAAGAGACAGAACCTAGAAACAGAACCTAGACACAGAACCTAGACACAGAACCTACACAGAACCTACAAAGAACCTAAGACACAGAACCTACACAGAACCTAGAGACAGAAGAACTTCGCTGGAGGGAACATGGCAAAAGATCCTGGACAGAAACTGGAGACAGAACCTAGAGACAGAACCTAGCAAGAGAACATGGCAAAAGATCCAGAACAGAAACTGGCCACAGAACCTAGAGACAGAACCTAGCGAGAGAACCTGGCTGAAGAACCTAGAGACAGAACCTGGCTACAGAACCTGGATAGAACACGGCAAGAGAACCTGACTAGAACCTGGTGACCGAACCTGGCTGGAGAACCTGCAGAACCTGGCTGGAGAACCTAGCGAGGGAACATGGCTACAGAACCTGGCTGGAGAACCTGGAGAACCTGGCTGGAGAACCTAGCAAGAGAACATGGACACAGAACCTGGCTGGAGATCCTGACCAGAACTTGGCTAGAGATCCTGGCTAGGCTGCTGATCAACTGAACGCTGTCTCCGTGTCATTCCTTCTTCGCCGACTCCATCCACACCTTTGGGTACCCCTGGACCTGCTGGGGTTGGACCCCAGCAGAGTGGAGTGTGGGAAGGGGACAGGACGCTGACCGCTGGTGTGGAGTGGGGTGTGGGAAGGGGACAGGACGCTGACCGCTGGTGTGGAGTGGAGTGTCGGAAGGGAACAGGATGCTGACCACTGGTGTGGAGTAGGGTGTGGGAAGGGAACAGGACGCTGACCGCTAGTGTGGAGTGGGGTGCGGGAAAGAGTGTGATGATCAAGGACAATGCCCACGTCTGCAGTAAATGAGCGATGGTGCCAGAGCTGGAAAGAATGAAGCAGGAGCTGGTCGGTGCAGAGAGAACGCTGGGTGTTGGTGTTGGGCGCATTCTTGCGCGAGGCTGGCTGATGGTCAGAGTGACGCGTTTGGAAGTCAAGTGGAGAGTGTGTGTCAAGAATTTTTCAGAGTTAGTATTCTTCTGATCTAGTCATTTCATTAGAATTATCCTAAAACTTACTAGGTTATTCTAATACTAAATTCAAGGAATTTATCCTAAGCAAATTGTCCTTTTAAAAAAATGCAAAGATATTCATCATAGTATTTTAAATATTTAAAAAATTTTAGGTGATAAGGCAAATATGACAAAACTACTCCATGGGAATTTTTATAGCCATTTGAAATTCTATTTACAAAATGTTTTTATTAGCATGGAAAATGTTATGCTATAATGGAATTTGAAAGAAATTAAGGTTCAGAAGGCTCTAGGCTTGTTTGGTTCAGTGGATAGAGCGTCGGCCTGCAGACCAAAGGGTCCCGGGTTTGATTCCGGTGAAGGGCACATACCTTGGTTGCAGGCTCCTCCCTGACCCGGGCCCTGGTTGGGGCTCATGCAGGAGGCAGCCAATCAATGTGTTTCTCTCACATGGATGTTTCTCTCTGTCTTTCCCTCTCTCATCCACTCTCCCTAAAAATCAATGGAAAAATATCGAGTGAGGATTAACAAAAAAAAAAAAAATCTAAGCACAGAAACTTGACCAGAACAAAAAACAACAACATGCTAATAATGGTCTCTTTACGGAGCATGGCACGCGGCTTTCTCATCTTTCCATATTAACAATTCTCTGTTGTGGAACGTGTGTAATAAAAAAGTTAAAATTTTACATCTGTGTATGTACATGTGTGTGTCTGTCCATATGTGTATCTATGCATGTATCCATGTGTGCACACGTGTGCATGTGTGTGTCCACATCCATGTCTCCTGTCCTGTGCGCAGGTCCTTCGGAGTGCTGCTGTGGGAAATATTCTCTCTTGGATACATGCCGTACCCCAGCAAGAGCAACCAGGAGGTCCTGGAGTTTGTCACCAGCGGAGGACGGATGGACCCCCCGAAGAACTGCCCTGGGCCTGTGTACGACTCTTTTAGGGACATTTCTGCAAGTTACTAAGCACAGTTCTCCTTTTCAAAAAGCATCTGCAGCCCCATGTGCTTTGTTATGGTGGAAGGGCAGGTGGCTGGCCTCCCTTAATGCTCCCTTAAGACTCCCTTAATGGAGTCTGTGACTCCAGTGGAATGGGTTAGTCTTCCGGCCCCAAAAGCAGTAACTTCAACCCCAAAGAGATGTCCTCTGGCTGGCGGGAGGCCATGGGCTCACCAAGCTCACACTCCTCAGGAATGTGTGTCCTGGCCTCCACCCCTTCTACCCAACACCATTGTACCTGAGTCCCCTAAAATCAGGGTGGGGCAAAAGTGGGTTTATGTTTATTCATAAGAATAACTTCTGTGCTTTGCATGCTCGAAACTGTAAACCTACTTTTGCCCATTCCCCGCATTTTCTGTGTCCTGTCTGGCACCCCTCACCTGCTAGCCACAAGCAAGGCAGATGGGCAATGTAATCAGAATATTCCTCCCAGAGGTGACTTTAACTCAGGAATGGATGAGAGGGCCGTATTTAATGGGAACACAGGATGGTTGTGTTCATGGGCCGTGGTGTTAGCTTCTACACGTGGCACGATTCCTTGGCCTATCAGCAGAGGGCAGCATATGCCAACCACATGGGACCTGGGGTTACCACCCTCAAAGGCAGTGCCACCCCCACCCCGCCCCCATCCCCATCCCCCATCCCACTTAGAAAAGTGTGGGGAGAAGAAATGTACATTTCATCCTGTTTCTCCTGATTTTAAGGAATGTGCTGGTCCTTCTTTCAGATACAGGATAATGACCCAGTGCTGGCAGCACCAGCCCGAGGACAGGCCCAACTTTGCCACCATCCTGGAGAGGATCGAATACTGCACCCAGGTACAGACCTGCCCCCTGGTCAGCAAGTTTTCCTGACGGCAAATGCCGAAACTGAAATAAAAGTTAAACCAGCCAGAAGATGTGAGTTGGGATCGTGAGGATGAATGTTAGTTATCTATAAAGTAAAATGATGGGGCCCTCAGTCTGCAGGTTTTATGGTTAATACCAGTAGCTGCTGCTTTCTTCAGCAGCACGTGGCGCGTGGCTGCCACTCAATAGGGAATCAACCCAATTCACCAGCATAAATTCCCATCAGGCACCTCATGTTTTACTGAAGAAAACTGGATCTGCAGGGAAGTATGGGAAACCCCTGCTCGCCAACAGTGTGGCAGGGGTCCTCAAACTACAGCCCGCGGGCCACATGCAAGTACAAATATTGTCTTTGTTCCCATTTTGGTTTTTTACTTCAAAATAAGATATGTGCAGTGTGCATAGGAATTTGCTCATAGTTTTTTTTTAAACTATAGTCCAGCCCTCCAACGGTCTGAGGGACAGTGAACTGGCCCCCTGTTTAAAAAGTTTGAGGGCCCCTGGTCTAGCCTCTTAAAAACAGATGGCTCTATAGGAGCACATTTTAAAATATATACCTTTATTGATTTCAGAGAGGAAGGGAGAGGGAGAGATAGAAACATCAATGATGAGAGAGAATCATGGAGTGGCTGCCTCCTGCACGCCCCCCAACTGGAGATCGAGCCCTCAAGCCCAGCCTGTGCCCTGGCCGGGAAGTGAACCAAGGCCTCCTGCTTGGTTCATGGGTCGACGCTCAACCACGGAGCCACACCGGCTGGGCTGTCTGAGCACAGGCTGAATGACTCACTATAGACATCAATAATTAACAGAGGAGCTAAAATATAAATGAGAATCAGAAGGTAGTTATTTTTTATTCTTAAACTCTTTACTGATGAATACTAGATTGATGGGCTGTTAAACTGCAGTCATGGTTGTCCCAAATTGCATGAAGTATTAAAGACTTAAATTTCCCCAAGTTTAAATTTCCTCCCACAAATTTTTCTCAAATCTCTGGCAACTGCTTTTGCTTTTCTCTATTACATTCTGTGGCCATAAATACGATCTGTGGACGAAAATAGCACAGAGTTGGTGTGTGAATGGTTTTCCTCGCAGCGCTTCGGCATTTGCCGGGGTTCACAAAGGGCCCGTCACACCCGGACTGGTGAGCCACTGCTCTGTGACATCTGACGTGTAACAATATGAGAAATACAGTCACACATCACCCACCCAAACATGAGGAGAGCGGGAGGCAGCCAGGAAGAGATAAACCTTGTAAACCAACATGGGACGGTGTCTCCTCCCTCCCCACCCCCTTGCCCCATCTCACACACACAAACCTGGAGTCAGACACAGAGAGTTCTCTTTTTAGAAACATTTTATTGGGAAGAGACTGGAATAATTTTTTTAAATATATTTTATTGATTTTTTACAGAGAGGAAGGGAGAGGGATAGAGAGTTAGAAACTTCGATGAGAGAGAAACCGATTCAGCTGCCTCTTGCACGCCCCCCACTGGGGATGTGCCCGCAACCCAGGTACATGCCCTTGACTGGAATCAAACCTGGGACCCTTCAGTCCACAGGCCGACGCTCTATCCGCTGAGCCAAACCAGTTAGGGCTGGAATAATTTTTTAAACTAGTTTATAAGTTTTTAATCCACTAATCCGCAAGATTTGCCCAATAGTGGTCTCTGCAAAGCCTTTCCTGCCCCCACACCTGCCCAGGCAGTGGGTGCTTCCAGCACCCTGCGCAGCTTCTATCCCAGGGCTTATCCTGCACTCGTCAAGGGTGAGGAGGCTTCCCATTGGCTCCTTTAAAAAAAATGTTTTAATTGATTTTTTAGAGCAAGAGGAAGGCAGAGGGAGAGAGAGAAACATCACTGAGGGAGAAACACCATCATCCATCGGCTGCTTCCTACACGCCCCCTGTTGGGGATCGAACCAGTGACCTCTTGGTGGACGGTCAATGCTCAACCGTGAGCTACACTGGCCAGGCTCCCATTGGTTTCTTATTCCCCAGTGCCTGTACATTAACATATTCCCAATAAACATTGAATGGTTTCCTCCTCAGTAAAGTAAGTGTGGGTGAGATCATTGCTCAGGTATCTTCCAGATCCAACATTTCGTGTCTGTGATTGAGTTTTAATCAGTTCATTTCTCCTGCCTGTAGGATCCAGATGTGATCAACACGGCCTTGCCAATAGAATACGGCCCACTCGTGGAGGAGGAGGAGAAAGTGCCCGTGAGGCCCAAAGACCCTGAGGGAGTCCCTCCTCTCTTAGTCTCTCCCCCCGCAGGGAAAGGGGGGGACAGGCAGGACCCAGCCGCCCCGGCCCTCCTGCCCTCCACTTCCTCGGGCAAGGCGGTGAGGAAGCCACCGGCGGCAGAGGTCAACGTTCAAGTCGCCAGAGGGCCGGCCGTGGGAGGGGGACACGTTAACATGGCATTCGCTCAGTCGAACCCGCCATCTGAGCTGCACAAAGTCCAGCGATCCCGAAACAAGCCAACCAGCCTGTGGAACCCAACCTACGGCTCGTGGTTCACAGAGAAACCTGCCAGGAAGGCCCGCCCTCCAGCACAGAAGGAACCCGAGAGGGGAGGCCCGGGGCCCGGGGGCCCCGTCCCGCCCAGCGCTGCAGCGGGCAGAGTCCCCGGGGCCTCCCTGCTCCTGGAGCCGTCCTCGCTGACCGCCAGCGTGAAGGAGGTGCCCCTGTTCAGGCTGCGTCACTTCCCGTGTGGCACTGTCAACTACGGCTACCAGCAGCAGGGCCTGCCCCTAGAGGCCGCCGCCCCCGGGGCCAGTCACTACGAGGACACGGCCCTCCAAAGCCAGCCTGGGCCCTGAGCCGGGCCCTCACCTCTTTTCCTGGGGAACCCTGAGCCCATGGAGGGGGGCGGGCCACGGCTCCTCCACACGCCAGACCAAACGCCACTTTTCCTTTCGTGCCAACTTGTTTTGAAGAGCCACATCAAAGCTGTATTTTCCAAATGCTTTCGAGAGGTTTTGAGCATGGGTTCATCCTATCATTTCAAAAGAAAAACATGTCATAGAGACAAGTGGGAGGTACAAGGCCCGGATTTGGCTGCCTAAGGTTGTCGTGCGCGGCTGAGGCCCACGCCCTCGGGGGGGGGGGGGGGGGCGGGTCAGACGAGCTGCTCACTCACAAGGCCCGAGGCCTGCACCTGGAGCCAGGGATGCGCCCTAACCTGGGTGCTGTGGACTGGACCCCTGGGGGGGCGGGGGGCAAAGAGGAGCTGTGTGTGACGAGTCAGCATGGGAAGGACATTCTCTACTTGGAAAAGGAAATTCATGGACAAGTAACTGAAGCGTCACGTGTCAGATGACAGACACTTTCGATCGTGCTACTCCTTGACGACGGTAACATGTGGTAGTGACGGAGGTTTAGCGGAAACGTGCGTGTTCTCACCTGCAGGAGGTCCTTCGAGTGGCCGAGCCCGGCGCAGACACGCTCAGCATTCTATCAATATACCTCATGCCTTAAGAAAACCTCCTCCCAAAGTGAGCAACTGATGTGAGGTTTCCCACTGGACTAAAGATCTAAATCAACTACTTTAAAACTTCCCACTAAAACAAACTCTGATCATTTAAAAATAAAAATTTGAAGCAGCTGTGACACATCGCAGCATAGAAACACATCGCTTCTCATGGGCTCATGTCAGTCCGTCTGGGCCAAAACCTTCTGTGTTTGGTCATGAACGCTGCCGGGCTGGAGTTCCTACGGGTGAGGCAGGTCTTTGGAGTACAGGTCCTCGGGTGGCCTGAGAGGCGCTCCTGCGGGACCAGCATCCTTCCTCCCCGTGTTCACCCCCTTTTCTCTCCTGGTCATGTGGCCCCAGCACACATGGGAGCAGAGTTGCTGAAATACAGCATCATCTGCATGGCTATCAAATGCAGACTGAAACCAAGAACTTCTCCTCGGGGGGCAGTGAGCGCAGGAATTAAGGGACACCGAGGGCTGAGGTTGACCGCGCATGTCACAGAGTAGGGGTTCTGAGCTTGGTTTTCACAGATAATTTATCTCCACAAAAATATTACACACGCACTTATGCAGCAACGCTTTGCTTCACCAGGAAGCTCGGATCCCATTCTTTCTGTCTGCTCTGCCTCCATCCTCTTGCCCCGGTCCTCTCCTGGTCCTAGCTGTGCCAAAGCCTTGCTCTGGGAGGAAAGCCTTGTTACCTGCGGGACTCTGGGCATTCCCAGCAAAAGCACTGTGTACACACCACCTTCCCGACCTCCAGGTTCACCCGCATCTGGAGCATCGCCTTGGACGTGGGAAAGCCATTCTGTTCTGACAGCACCAGGCCGCGTTCACGCCTCCCACACAGACCCCTGGCCCGGCCAGCGGCTCTGTGCATCGGCAGATGCGCTGACCACTTTTCCTTACCTTCTTAACTACGTGTTTTCATCGGGCATAATGAACTCATCTCCAAATAACCATATCAGGAACGTTTGGGCTCATGCCAGGCGCAAAAGTAAATAGTCTAATTATGTCAACATCCACGTAGCTCATAAACCACCCGAAGGGGCCAAGAATCACGCGTGGAGAACCGTGCTCCCGAGGGATGGCGGCAGAGTAACGCCAAGACTGAACATGCCACTTCGCATCTGTAACCAGTGACCATTAAACGGGGAGCATGCACACGCCTCCGCAGCCGACTCCTTATTGCTGTTTTTCGGGGGGGGGGGGCGGGGGGGGAGGGAGGGACCTTACCCCCTTACCCCTTTCTCTTCTTAAAAACTACAAATCACTACATTTTCAGACGATGCCCTACCACAATATTCACGTCAATTTCAAATGACAGTCAAGTCTTAGAAGCCTGTATACACAGCTAAGTAAACGGCTCCACACTGAGACACAACCGCCTCACGGCGTCTCGTTGAACTCGCTGTAGGCCGAGGTATCAGCATCGGCACAGCATTAATCCGGACCGGGTCCCCCCGGCACTGCCCAGCCATGTGGCCACGGCGAGTCACACAGAGGCTGTGATGCTCATGCTAACTATGGGCGGGCACAAGTCAAGTCTGCAGAGACCACGTGAATTAAACCATAAGCCAGAACAATTATTTCCATCCCATGTCCATATAGAAGCTCATCAGAGTTCACAACCATTCCGCTGGGACACTGGCCGTTAGTGAGGAATGACCAGGTAATTAAATGGGGCACCCCCAAATGAGAGCAAATCGAAACAGCAGGGATAAACTTTCTTTTCTTAGCACCATCTTCTTAGTAGTCAAAAATCTGGAATGTCCTCTCTTGTTAGGGTGAGTTCTGGCTCCCCTGGGATCGCTGGGCCAGCCTGTACCTCAGTGTCTCCACAAACAAAACCGGACAGTGGCCCCTGGCCCCCGGCGAGTATAAACTGGGGGGAAGCACCTCGCTCCTCCCACGCCTCTTGAATTGCCCAGTGATTTGGGGCTGGGTGGAGGGGAGGGGAGCTGCAGAAGCCAGAGTCTGTGCCCCTACCCCCAGCACTGCAGCTCTGGGGGTTCCTGTGCCCACGCCCCTGCCCACCAGCATCCCTGGCTCCTCATCTGTCCCTTGTTTAATGGCAGTAGCAAGAACCCTACCGGAACCAAGTCCTTTTCGGCTCAAAGCATGAATGGAAAACTGTCTGTCAAGTTTGGGACTGAGTGTGAAAGTAAGCATCACAGAAAGGAAGAGTTTTAGTCAATTGAGTAATCCTGTTTTAAAAATTCCTGGCATCTCCATCTGATAGTAAACTCGATAGCTCTAAGATGTTTTCGGTAACTGCAGATTAACTTTATCCCACTCAGAAAATCTAAGTAATTGGGCTATTTTAATAGATTTCCCTCAGTAATAACAGGATTAAAATTCATACAAGCTTTATAGACTAACACAGATGCCTGTGGATTCAGACTACTCAATAACAGACTCCCACAACAAGATTCATAAAATTGTCTGGAGTGTTGTCAATCTGTCTTTAGCGATTTTTTAAGTGGGTCCCCAAAGAACATACAATTTGACTTTGCCAATTTCATCATAGCAGATGGCTCCCCGTGTTGTGTGAACAGACAAAACAAAACCCAGCATTTCTGTCACCCTCCACAAGACGCCCTAAAACAAAAACAACTACCGAGAACAAACAGTGAGGCGTCTGTGTTACAATGCTGTTTTCAGTTGGTAGCCTGAAGCAGGTGTATTTAACTTTCAAGGCACTCCTCGTGGGCGAAGCTATTTTTAGCTCTAGATTAACAGCTTTAAAACGTTGGAAGAGCTCAGAGTGAGCACAGACTATTATTACTGACAACTGAGAGGCGGGAGGAACCTGACCCACAAACTAAAGCCACGACTGTCCTCTCCTGGGGCTGAGCAACAGTCAAACCAGTGCTGCCCGCGCCCATGGCCAGGCGCGCGGCCAGGCTCACCTCAGAAAACTCCAAGGACCCGCGTCTGTTCGCCCACTGTCCGCAGACCTGCGGCCCATGGCCTCCTCAAAGCAGTTATCCGCCCTCACTGAAATCAGCAGGCGCCTACCAGCTGGTTGTAGTCTTAGCCAATGAACTCTCACTAAGCCTTAGCAACCAATGTATCAGTGCCCCAAGGATATTTACATGTTAAGAAAGGCCATTTTCCAATAGAGATGAGTAGCAGACTGATAAGACTTCACATGAGTATAACGGTTTGGGTGGCTTAACACCCATCAGTTATTGAGAAACAGCAAGCGGACGGGGCAGGAGTGAAAGGACCCAGGTAGTAGACTGCAATTATCTGTCTGTGGAGGGGGTGGGAAAGTAGGTTTACAGTTGTTCGTAGGGAAAATAATATAATAAATAATCATTCAAGAATAAACTGTGTTTCCCGTACTCACAGCTGTGAACCTGCTTTTGCCCCACCCTGTGTGTGACTCAAGCCAGTTAAACTCCTATCTCTCATTTAAAAACATGAGCAGTTTGGTCTCAAAGGCCCCTTCCAACTCCAAAGTCTGGGATTCTGCAAGCCTTCTCCTCGGAGAATGTAAATTCCATCCATCCGCAAGACATGGGGGTGGGGCGGTGTTCTTGACCTTGACTCTTAAAGCATTTAGAGCCAATTAATTCAGTGCACAATCCTGGGGAGCCAAATTATACTTAATCTTTATACAGAAATGGACCAGATAGAAGTTTAGTATTAGATCGTTGTTTATTCTTTCTATTCAGAGATTCCTTCAACAAATCATAAAACCGTTACCACAGCAGAATGAGGTCAGCCAGAGTGGTTCCTGGAAGAAGCAAGGCTGACAGGACGGAGACGCCTGTCCGTCAATGACCTTCACCCCTTCAGTGTCACACACTTATTTCTCTGGTTACATTTGCCACAAGTGCGGGCTTATCATCACAGTAAAGTTATAAAGCGTACCTTCTGAAGGTTACCTTCACCACACCTAGTATTTGATGACAGATCTGCCGGCTGTCAGTTTGCACCTCCTGGGGCCCATCCCAAAGCGAAGTAACAGCACCCAGCGGAGGCCCATGACCCTGACCAGGCAGCACCTGTGGGCCCAGCATCCCTACACAAGTGTCCCGGTGCCATTGTGTTGAGGAATTCATTGGGAACAGGAGTCCTTGCTCCCAATTACCATAGAATTGGATAGACCCCCTCTTTTCAGATTTATAGCGACACCCACTGCCACTGGATGGCGATTTCTGGAAACTTGTGGTGAATGCTAGAGCTTTCTAGTGGATCTAGAATTCCCCACAGACAGCCAATTCAAATAATCCACCAAAAGACAAGACTGGGAAGGCAAGTTACCTACATTTTAGTGCATCTGAAAGTCAAGAAAAAAAAACACAATTTAAATCTTTTTGTATTATTTCAAAGCAATATTTATATAGACCTTCACAGTTCTCAGAATAAAGTCATAGGAAAGACAGACATTCTTTTTCCTCGTGTCTGGACCAGGAAGCAGCTGGGGACATAAGGTAAGAAACTAAGCAGAACAGGACACTGGATCCCCTGTGTCACACACCCGTGTGCAGTGGGGCCCCAGAAATCTCATTCCCTGAGCTCTACTCCCTTCGAGAAAAACATCATTTGAGAAAATTACACTTTAACTAATATGACTAATCTATTGGAATTCTCATTAGAAACCATTTGTATTGGCAGGTTCA